ATATACCTAATGGGGGAAATGGTAATTTTGAATTGATAATATTAATACTAATTATAATTATAACCAAGTTGGTTTGAATGGTAATAGCTCACCTCCTATAACTATAAGTAATGCATGGTTAGCTTATATTTATTGTCTACTATCTGCCAAGCACTTTACACGTATTATATCATCCTATTCACTGCTGATTCTCCAGTAACTAGACCATTGCCTAGTGACTAACAGGGACTTGACATAGACATATGAAATAAATGCATAAATAAATGAAAATCTCCTCACTAGCCCCAAAAGACAGTTATTATTATTTTCATTATACAGAGAAAATGACAGAGACTCGGAGAAGCAAAGTGTCTTTCTCAAGATCAAACAGATGCCACGTGTTAGAATCAGCATGGGGCCAGGCATCTTCTCAGATTGCTATATGGACGAGCATGCGTGTACAGGCTGTCGTGACAACTAGGATTTTGAACACTTACTTTGTATCAGATACTACATTAGCAATTTTACACATTTTATTTCCTTTCATCCTCCTCCCAAATCCTTACAGAGTAGGTACCAGTGCTCCCATTTACAGAGAAGGGAAATAAAGCTTTATAAAATTAAGTGATTGCCCAGTCCTTATGTGATACAGGCAGAGAAGGCTGACCCCAAAGTCATCACTGTGCTTCCCGCCATGTCCCCCCGTAACAGGCACACAAAACTCACACATGCAACAAGCCATGAATTACATGAATGCTGAAATGTGACTGTACACTTTGCTCTAAAATGCCAACTAATGAATACAAGCCTTGGAAGAGTATATTAAAATGTTTACAAGAGTTCATGAGGAAAAAGGCTACCTACAAACTTTTCTGGATTAGAATGTCCTACGTTGATTTTCTTTCATCTCGTCACTAACTAATAATTATGCAATTATTTGTATACAAACAATTTATGTAAACAACTTATGGAATTTATAAAGTGTATAATATTTCTGCAGACTTTGAGCCCTTGAAGAGCAGGAACTCTGCTATTTCATTTTTTTCTCCCCATCCCTAGCACATAGATGTTCTTAATAAAGTTTGGAATTACATAAATAAGCAAAGCAATTATTAGTTGATCTGTATGTTCGTCCTTATATTTCTAACATTATTATTGTATATGATTCTAATAAGCTAGAGGGTTAAAACGATTCCATGCTAAACCACCCCGTCTTTGGTCCTCTCTATAATCACCCTGAAGGAAATATAAGAGGCACCCCACAGCGTCCAGCCCAGATTAAGAAATTAATAAACTAGAAGGCTGAGCCCAGTCTTCTAAGCCTAGATGCCAAAAGTGGTAAAAACACTGCCATTAAAACTAGATTAAACCGTAAATCCATCACAAGTCTGATTAATGAATAGCCGCTTTAACCGAGATTTGACTGGTGTCAATCACTGTCAGGAACACAAGTAACTGGTTCTCATCCACTGGGTGAGGGGAAAATGCTGCTTTCCGGAAGCAGTACTGAGTGATGTTCTCACCTGTACCCTCTTAAACATCAGACGAAATTTGGTAAGGTCTCCGAGGATATCGATTTCTCACTTTCATGTAGCACTTGACAGCCTACCACGCAGTTTTGCTTTTATTATTCCATTTGATCTTCAACAAGCTGAGGGAGATATGCAAGAGTGGGGAAAACAGGTTCAAAGAAGTTGTATGATTTCCTCAAGTGTACAAAATGACAGAAAAATACTATAATACATGTCTTATGATTCCTTAGGTGGACTCCTCTTGCTCTGCCTAAACAGGAGACAGGTTTCACCTGCCTCCTAGTATTCTGGGAGGCAGCCTGGTCTGGCGCAGCCAGTATTGACTTAGACATCAGAGAGAAAAGTTTAGGTCCATCTCTGCCCGTTACCGTCAGTATGAATTTAAGCAAATAATCTAGGAGCATCAATGCCCTTAGCCATGATACAGGATGCTACTCTCTTTTTCCCAAGGTCAGTTTGAGGACTAATTATGGTGGAGCGTGAAATGAACCTGCACATACTAAGGATAGTATGTATCAGTTCTTTGCCTTCCTCCCAAAGAATGTGCTCACTGTGCAGAGAGATCTTTCCAGGGAGAGAGAGAGAGAAAGATCCTGAGGTACTGTGAAAATAGTGATGTAGGCCAGTGGTGGATAGGACCAAAATGAGGGATCCTTGCTAGCTTACCCAGGAGACTGCCGATACTGGTCTTTTTATTCAGGGGAAGCACAGTCTTTTCCTTTAGGGCTGATGGATCAATATGATTGTAGATAATCTGCTTCAAGGTAACACAGAGATAGAAAAAGACAAGTGGGTGTCTCCCTTCAAAGAGATCCCATTAAAAGTTCACTAAATTCCATGTGGTAACCCTAAATTCCATTGGTGACCCTTATTCGCGTCAGGCTTCACACCTTAACTGTCATCTGCATCCAGATACTGATGTGAAAGAAGATTAAATCTCAGGAAGATTTTTAAATGATACTAAGAAAAACATATACAGTACATTGAAGTTTCTAAAATGTCTTTCCAAGACACATGTCATTGCTTGTAGCTCTCCCAACAATCATCTGATAGTAGGCATTACTACCCTCTTCAACTTAGAGATAAAATTGAAAGTCACTTTCTAGAAACCATGAAGTTAGTAAGTGATACAGTTAAGACCTAGACCTGATCCTTAGACCGCCCCCCACCAATCTCGTGTTATTTCTATAACATGCTGAATTGCTGTCCCCAAGAGTTATGAGATGAACCACAACTGTGGAAATGGGGCCGTATTTTTAATATCACAGTATTTTTATCTGGATTATAGATTATTGGGGGAAGATCGCCTTCAGGGTAAGGTCCAAATGAGAAATGATGACCCAGGTTCCAAGATTTAAGTCATATAGTCACATGCCCTTACCCATAAACATTCCATAAGCACTATACTGTGAACGCTCTTTTATCATCCTCAAACTCAAGGCCTCTATAGAAATGTCTATTCACAACTCTTTCTCTTAGGTTCACCATGGTGTCTGGGAATCTATAAAGAAAGAACTGTGAACAAGAATCTTAAACCCAGGGGCCAGCCCTGTGGCTGAGGGATTAAGTTCGTTCGCTCTGCTTTGGTGCCCAGGGTTTCACCGGTTCCAATCCTTGGTGCAGACATGGGACTGCTCATCAGGCCATGCTGACGTGGCATCCCACACAGCACAACCAGAAGGACCTAAAACTAGAATATACAACTAGGTACTGGGGGGACTTTGGGGGGACAAAAAAAAAAGAAGATTGGCAACAGATGTTAGCTCAGGTGACAATCTTTTAAAAAAAAAAAAGGATTCTCAAACCCAAAACTCAGCATCTTAACCTACTAGTCATATCCATATAGCATGTGTCAGTCTAGCAGCTCCTAATAGATTTTAAGAAACATTAACATTTTATTTCTTCATTCATACATTTTATAATAAATGCAATAAATCTTATTCTCAGATATAATCCCTAATGAATCCAGTGAACCATTCATATTAGGCCACGGCTGAGTACAGTTTTCACAAGGTTTAAACAAATTCCATCAAAAGTCTCTCGCTAAGATATACCCAGAGGCGCAAACAATTCTTACAACCCTTTTTCAGCCATCGTATTAAGTTCAAACAAATGACACGTGCATAGAGTTGCATGTTATTAAAAGTCTATGATTAATTTCTAAAAGATTAATTAAATGTTTAGACATATTAAATTCTGCTAAGCAGTTGTCATCTTCCCATCATCTGTCAGTATCAACAAATACAAAATAAGCGCACTTTTTCTATGATAACTGGAAGTTTGTTCATTCAAGGGATATTGATAAAAGCCAAGCCAGTTAAACTCCATAAATAAAAAGAGATGGCCGACTGGGGGCTCCGGGCTTTCTCACCCTGGCCCCCATGAGTAGCACTGTAGGGACTCTTGAGTTTCTGTAGGATCTGAAGTGATGCATCCATTTGAATCTAACCAAATCATCAGACTCTCATTCAGACACCAACTTTCTTCTTTTTTTTTTATTGAGGTTATGATAGTTTACAACCTTGTGAAACTTCAGTTGTACATTATGATTTGTCAGTCATATTATAGGTGCACCACTTCGCCCTTTGTGCCCACTCCCACCCCCGCCTTCCCCTGGTAACCACTAATCTGTTCTCTTTGTTCACGTGTTTGTTCATCTTCCACGTATGAGTGGAGTCATACAGAGATTGTTTTTCTCTATCTGGCTTATTTCACTTAACATAATACCCTCATAGTCCATCCATTCATGTTGCTGTGAATGGGAGAATTTTATCCTTTTTTATGGCTGAACAGGATTCCCTTGTATATATATACACCATATCTTCTTTATCCAATCATCAGTCGATGGGCACTTAGGTTGCTTCCACATCTTGGCTATTGTGAATAATTCTGCAATGAACATAGGGGTGCATGGGTTTCTTTGAATTGCTGATTTCAAGTTCTTTGGATAGATATCCAGTAGTGGGATGGCTGGGTCATATCCTATTCCTATTTTTAGTTTTTTGAGAAATCTCCCTACTGTTTTCCATAGTGGCTGCACCAGTTTGTGTTCCCACCAACAGTGTATGAATGTTCCTTTTCCTCCACAACCTCACTGACATTTATTATTTTGTGTTTTGGTTATTTTAGCCATTGTAACACATGTAAGGTGATATCTTAGTGCAGTTTTGATTTGCATTTCCCTGATGATCAGTGATGATGAACATCTTTTCATGTGCCTGTTGGCCATCCATATATCTTCTTTGGAGAAATGACTGTTCATATCCCCTGCCCGTTTTTTGATCGGGTTGTTTGAATTTTTGTTGTTGTGTTGTGTATATTCTTTATATACTATGGAGATTAACTCTTTGTTGGGTAAATGGTTTGCAAATATTTTTTCCCAGTTGGTGGGTTGTGTTCTTGTTTCAATCCTGTTTTCCCTTGCCTTGTAGAAGCTCTGTAGTCTGATGAAGTCCTATTTGTTTATTCTTTCTATTTTGTTTCTCTCAGACACCAACTTTCTTGATGCATAATCCTATGAAGTGTGGTTTCCAAGCAAGTGGAAGATTAAAAGCAGGAAATTAGAAGCTGGGTAAGAGGAGATTTCCAGACAATAAGCAAGGAGACAGAAAAATCATAAAATAGAGGCACAAAAATTTAAGAAGTGATATAAATAGAGCTATTTGGTGAAAGGGCAAAAACTCTGCCTTCCTCCATAGGATGTCCCTTGTGAGAACTCAATGAGATAACACACAGGATCATTAAGCACAGTGCCAGGTACGGCATAAGCACTCAATATAGAGAAGCTACTAAAAGATGCTAAAAGAGAAGACATCGTGGCAGTACTGTGGTAGAGTACAGTGTCAGAGCAGATGCTCATAATGCCAATTTCAAACAATCATCTAAAGATAAAATGAAATCCGTCAGTCTCTATTGAAGCTTTCAGAAAGCTTGTACTCTTCTATTGCAAAAGATTTCCATAAAAAAATATTAAAAAAGAAAGCATGTTCTCGTGAAAGAAATAAGCTTCAGTTTTTGAAATGCATCACTTAAGTAGAATGCCTCATTTCTGGGAATGTCAGATCAACAAGAACGGTCCATACATGTCTGCTATTGTAATCTTTCTTATACTTTTAGACTTGTTTAGACGTTAGATGTCCCTTATCCCAAATTACCATTTTCCCTTCCAACAGGTCAGCTAAGTTTTTACTCAAGGTGTTATTTGCATTTGGTCCTTGTCTGCTCTCCATATGTACTTCATGGAATCATCTAATGTATGGATTCATTTATATCTTTGTTTATCATCTACCTCATTCTACAAAGGGTTCAAGGTGGCTTACAGGAAAAACATACAAACTGATAGTGAGAAATAAATAAATGCATAAAAATGAGGATCAAGGAATATATTTCAGTGGAAATATTTGCTTACAAGTAGACTGCCTCCAAAAATAGAGATCAATCATGATAGGCATGTCGGGCAAAGAGTTGGCCCAACTATAACCTAAGTACCAGGAAGTCTGTTAGGGTGGGATGGGGTGGTAGTGGGAGGAGACTGTGGGCAGCGTATACATCCTAAGGGAAGATAAGGACAGCTCAGTCAACTGACCCAAAAACAAAATCTAATCATCAGAGGGGATAATGATGTGTTTGTTTCTCAGATCTGTTGCTGAGCCAGCCAACTGGAAGAGTGCGAGTGCTATAAGTAAACAAAAAAGGCTCTAATTCAGCAAATTCTTTTCAGCACGGCAGAACAATCTGCACTGCTTCAGGACCTCTCTAAGAGAATGTAATGTAAAGTGGAGATCATAGTTAAATATCCCTTCCAACTCACCTCAGGTTGCCAAGAACCTTTTGTTCTATGGTAGCTCAAGTGTCGAAGGATTGTGACACTTGGTAGGTCAATGGTAACCACCAGTAGGAAGCTTTAGAACAACAGGAGAAACTATGGTGCACAGTGGGCAGAGGAGCAGAAATACCGTTCCAGAAAAGCCACACTGCATGGAAAAGAGGGGACACCACAGCGGTTGGGGAAGCGATGCGGCCACGAGTGCAGTATTGCTAAATTAGTGACAGCGCCGTCATGTAGACTGCTGTGTCTTCTGGAAGGGACCAAAATTCTTAGCCTTGCCCTTCCTGCTGTCCACCAAGGGAGTTCAGGCTTTGCCCTCCACTTTATCTCTTACCCTCCAAGGACTGTTGTGTGATTACTTTATTAGTTCTCTAGGTTTTTATGATACAGAAAACACAGAAGGAACCACAGAGACCAGAGTAAAGCAGAAAAGGATAAGAGGTGCATGAACTGTGGCTGGAGAAGGAGTCCTCTCTTGAAGCAAGAAAACAAGGCTGCACAGAGATCGAATGGAGAAGGGTTTTTTTAGGCATGTGTGATTTCTTATAGGTGAAAGGTACCAGAAAATTGATGGGATGTAATGGATGTGGCTAGAAGGAAAAGGGAGTATGAGTGTGGATGTGGTCTATGCATGGCATTGCTGTCATGATGTTTGAGGATTGCAAGTAAAGAAGATGAATTTATATTGCAAACGGGACTGGACCATGTTACCGGCTATGATGCTCTAAGCCTGGACCTTGAAGGTCATGGTTTTGTAAGCATTGTTCCAGTAGTGTCTTTTTGACCTTCTGTGTGGAATTCTGCTGTCCAGCGTAGCAGCAGTTCCTAACAGAGCAGTGGAAGCTTCAGCAAATGTGTCCATGAGCATATGTGAGAAATTTCCAGGGACTCAAGACAAAAAACAACCCACTTAAGGGGGCAGGAGGAAGAAGAGGAGGTTTTGCAGGAGAGGAAAAATTTGCAGATCCCGTGTCAGCAGATGGAGGCAGGAGCTAGTGCAACTTGAATTATTGCCATTATTGAGTTCATAGGCTGGTAAAGGGGGACAATGTGCATTCCATGGAAGTTGTGATAAGAGGATTCCCCACTATGTTTATACCAAGATTGTTCCCACTCACCTCAAAGAAAATAGAAGTTACTTCAGGATGGCAAGAGAAACTTGCCATGATCTGGCTGCCACTTTAGCCTCATCTTTTATCACTCCTTCCCTTGCAATCTAAACTCCACATCAGTGGTCATGGCTGTGGGGGATTTCCAAGCCACACCCCAGGGACACTTAGCCATGTTTGCAACACTTCTGATTGTCACAACTGGTGAGGGATGGGGAAAGCGACTGGCATCTAGTGAATAGAGGTCAGGGATGTGGCTAAACATCCTACAATGCACAAGACAGCCCCCAAAGGACAGTCCCCCCAATGTCAGTAGTACTCAGGGTGAGAAACCTTACTCTAGATACATTGAATTTCTTGTCACTGCTCAAGCTTGACTCAGCTCTTTATCTCCAACTCTCTGATATGACTGTTCCTTCCTCCTGGGAAGCATTCCCAATCCAAAGTAACCATCAAACTTTTACTCCTCCACATTTCCACTCAACCCTGATGTTCTCTTTGAGAACTTCCTTGGCTATCAGATATTGACTTGGGTGCTACTTTCTGGATTCTTCCATTGCACTTTGTGTCCACTTTCATTATGGCCATATTATAATTCATGGTAGCTTAATGTCTTCTCTTCCCTCCTCCACTCCTCTGTAAGTTCACAAAGGCAAGGAGGGGCCAGGTCTTTTTATCTTTGTATCTCCAATGCTTGAAATTGTTGAGTAGGTAAACAAATAATTCATTTAATCTTTTCATTTTTAAAAATGGGCATAATGCTATCTGCTCTATGTTCTTAACTTATTTCTTGTCATGATGGAATGAGATAATAAATGACAAGTTATTTAAAGTTTCATAATGATAACAGCTTCAATTTACTGAGCACCTTCTATGTGCTTGCCATTGGGTGAGATGCTTTGCATTTAACACTTCTAAATCTCCCAAATCAGTAAGATGAACCCAGAGGGACGACCTGGCATAAGGAATTCAAATGACTTGTCCAAGATCACAGAATAGCAAATAGCAGATTTGAGGCTCAAATCCAAATTTTGGGAGTTGGAAAGGGGTACAGATCTTGATATCACTGCAAAAACTTTGGGGTTCAAAGATAGGGAGACTCCCAAAGATAGCAAATTTATCCAAATAGTCACACACACAAAAAAAGAATACTTTTTCTGTCACCTGACCAACACTGAGAATTTTCTCAGGGAACCTGAAGTTTTAATAGCGTCACTCCCCCACCTGATTAATCAGAATTGCTGTTTGTTTGTGCATGAAAGATAACTCATTATGGCAAATATGCATTAGAAGACCATAATATATGCATTTATTCAATTAAGTCTAATGTATTATTTAAGGCTCGGTGTGTGATATTTATCACTAGCAAATGCTAATTTATACAGATTATCAGAGTCTAATTATGTGCACAGCTTGGGAGGATAGCCTGGTACTTGGAAGTTGCAACCATGACTTACTCTACTGTGGACCTGAATGTTAGAGGATCTGGTAACCTACGCCACATGTACACTTAAGCTCATAAACAGCTTTAACAGCAAATGGAACTCCATTACCATGGTCCCCTCCAATTGTTTGTGAAAGCCACTGCCAGCACCTTGGAGAGGTACCACTCACTCCTGAGGGTTTCCTTAGAATCATGCACCCTCTTGAGCATCCATATCCCCCATCATCCACCAACCAGAGTTAATGCTAATTCAGTAGCTGCCTTCTCCATTAAACCAACCCACCTATGTGCTGTATGCAGGAGCCAAGAGAGTCCTTGAAACATTCGCTCAATACACAAGCACTGAAAATCTACTCTGTGCCAGGCTTTGTACTCAGCTTAGAGGATACAAAGATGGATAAAGCCAGGCCCCTGAATCATGGGATAAGGGTTCTGCAAACTTCTAGGGCACAGATGTTAGCATCCCACAGTCCAGAAATGGAGCCCTGACCATCATTTATCAGCTGTGTAATCACATGCAAGTGGATTTAACCCATCCTTAGTTTCCTCGTCTCTTACAGGGGAGAACCTACACTCCGTATACACTTCTCTTGTATGAAAGAAGTCACTGTTTTTGACACTAGATGCAAATCTGCTTTCTTGTCCACACAGGACCAGCCCTTAGGCCCTGCTGTGTCTCCTCCCGATATTCAATCACATCCAACATCACCTGATTTTTTTCTTTTTAAAGACTTTACTGTAGGTTTTTCTGTGGAGACACAGTGTTAATATTTTTTGTTCCACACAATCTACCCTGAAAATATTCATCAGAAATATTTGTTTCTCCAGTTTGTATTTTCCTGCTCTCTCTCACCCACCAGGACTTGCTTCTCTGTCTTTCCCCAGACTGAACATACCCTGTTCTCTGTGATCCTCAGCTGTGTGCTCTCTACTCGGACTTCCATGCCTTGCATCTCAAAAAGAAACACCTGATGTTTTCAGAGCCCAGAGGGGTAAGAGGTCCTTGAAAAATCCTGCCTCTGTAGTCTGAGATCCTTGCCCACTTACAGGGTGGACCATACTTGATTTAGGAAAAAGATGGACTTGAGAAATTATCATTGTTATGTGAGCTGTTCCATTACAAAGAGATTGTTTCTTTGTAACTAAAAGAGGAGGGAAGGAAAGAATCAGATGGCCTTCAAACAAGGCAGATATCTTGCCAAATTTAAATCTTGTAAAATCTCGTAAAAGGCTGTCTGTAAGCTGTTGCAGTAAAAGTAACAACGCCTTGTAGCTGTGGACTATTTTTGCTGTCATGCTGGAGGGCATTTTATCAGAAACAGTTGTTGAGATGAAATATTTAGCAAAGTGAAAGAGAACAATATAAGTCACCACTATCTTGGTATAGCTATTTCTTCCCAAAAGAAAAGTTGAAATAATGGTACTTACCACTATAAACTCCCCATCAGAAGCCCACAATTAACATTTTACAATATCAGTGTCATCAGTGAAGTAAGCAAGCCACCAAAAAGAGGGAAGATGCTCTCAGTTCATCTTCCACCTGATCCTCCTCTGCTCATTCACCTTCTTCAGTTAAAGGCACTTCCTTTAATCCCATAAATGTCTGGCAATTCCCCCATCTTTTGGTTTTCTTCTTATTGTCTTAGTCTAGAAGGATCTTCCTGCACATTTCCATTTATACATGCCCAAATCCCACTCATCCTTCAAGGCTCAGCTCAAGAACAGGTAACATTTTTTTGAGCCCATGCTACATCCTAGACACTGATTAATTGCTTTATTTGCATCAACTCTCTGAATTTTCAATATCAGCCCTAAGATGAGTACCAGTAGTAGTCCCATTTCACAGAGGAGGCAACTGAGGTCCAGAGAGGTTAATGGACTTGCCCCTAATCAAACAGCTAATCTGAGGTGGAGCTTGGATTTGACCCTTAGGATGTGGCCCCAGAGTCTCGTGCCCTGAACTTCTATGATTGTCTGTGATACTTCTCCCGAATGTTCTCTGTGACTGTCCCCTGGAATGTTCTCCTCTCCTTGGAGTTTCTATAGCACTTTATGTTCAATTCTCTCAAGACACAGTTCACATCCTACCTTGCACTGAAATTGTGGTCCTCTTCCCTTTCCCCTGCTAGATCAGATGAGAGCTGAGTCCACCTCAGTTTTACCTGTTTACTTTCTTTAAAAAAGTACACACAGTATGTCCTCAATAAATAGAAGAGCCTAGAAATGGTAGAGCAGAAAACAGCCCCACAATTTTCCTGCAGAGTGGACGTGCTCATTATAACATCCAAGAGGTCACTCTTGAACACTGGAAATCTAGGGAAATATCCTGCAGTTAAACAAAGGATTTCCCCCTTCGTTTCTTTCCTCTATGCAATATTTGGGCTGAAAACGTTGCTTTAGAAGCAGACTGATTATGCATGTGTGTTGGAGACTTTAAAAAAAAAATCAGAGATTCATCTCCACAGTGGGAAATGAAGAAGGAGAGAGGGGGTAGCTGTAAAGAAGCCAATTTGTTTTTTCAAACATGAAAGGAAAAAATATATAATTTAACCAAGAAATTATCTCCAAACGCCCAGGGAACCCCCTGCCTGTCCAAACAGACAAAACACACAAACCTTCTACGTGTGTTTTCGTGGGTTGTTAATTTGGTGCTGGCCCTGGAGGGGAGCAGTATTACGAATTCACGCACATACGCAAGACGAAAAGCAGAGGAGCTGGAAACTGGAGGATGCATGAGGCTAGCAAAGGCTGTGTGTCCGAAGATCCAGGGCTACGAGCAATTTCCATGCATGTTTGGTGTGACAGGGAGAGGGACTCAGATCTCATAATTCCAACAGCTCTTGACGAAAGTACCTTAGGCCTTCTCAAACTTGATATTAAGAATCTCCTGGGAACATCATCAAAAATGCATATTCCCAGCCTCCATCCCAAGCCTCCTGTGTCAAAATCTCCCCAAGGGGCACCCTGGAATCTGTAAATCCACCAAGTGCTCCTAGTGATTCTTAGGATCAAACGAGGTGGGAAACATGGCCTGGGGCAATGGGAGCTGAATTTCTGGTTTGTGTCATGCTGGGGTGCAAGGATTAGAATGTCAAGGTCCCCAGGGTAAGGTAGAGAAGGAAGCCAGATTCGAAATTGGGAGACCAGCAGGTCATTGAAACTCTCTGGTCCTTGCTGCATCGTCTGTGAAGTTTCCTTGACAGCTTCACACTTTATCTGACAGGCTCTCAAGACGGCCTGCTATGCATCTGCAGCATTCATGCCTGCTTCCATATTGGATAATCCATGATTGTGGAAAATCATTTTGTGGAAATAGCAACGTGTGGCTTCTAAGGCTAGTGATAAATGACATCGCGGCCTCCACTTTGTGTCTCGGATCATTGGCGCTCTCTCTCTAGGAGAAGCCGGCCACCATATTGTGAGGAAGCTCAGGCAGCCCTATGGAGAAATCTGTCGAGCTGGGAACTGAGGCTCCTGCAACAGTCTCCATCATCCTGCTAGTCGAGCCATCTTGGAATCATCCTCTGGCCCTGGTCAAACATTCAGATGACAGCAGCTCAGCCAGAACTACCCTAGTAAGCCTCTCTTGAAACTCTGATCCACAGAAACTGCATGAGTTATGGTTATTTTAAGCTGCATTTTTTATGCAGCATAGATAAATATACAGTCTCTCTTTCACCTGTGTCTGACAATGACTTAAAGAGGGCCTAGGAATTGATGGTCCGCATGGATACTACCTGGCATGATAACAACTAGCAGGTTTTGAATGAATACTGAACACTTCACATGCACCATTTAATTTAAACTTCTTAAGAGACAGACACCATTATTCTGATTTTATAGAAGAAACTAAGGGTTAGAGAAGTCAATTAACACATCCAAGGCCTCTGATTTAATAGGAGTGAAGCCACAACTGGAAAGAAGTTCTGCTTCAAAAGGAATTCTCTCTCTTTATTTTTTAAGGCTGAGCAATATTCCATTGTATGTGTATACTGGATTTTCTTTATCCATTCATCTGTCAGTGGACATTTGGGTTGTTTTCATATCTTGACTATTGTGGATAATGCTGCTGTGAACACTGGGAGTGCAAATATCTCTTCGATATCCTCATTTCACTTATTTTGGATAAATACCCAGGAGTAGGATGGCTGGATCATATGGTAGTTCTATTTTTAATTTTTTGAGCCCTTAAAAAAGAAGGAAATTCTGTAATATGCACCAATATGGATGAACGTGGAGGACATTACGCTGAGTGAAATAAACCAGTCACAGAAAGACAAATGCTGTATGATTCTATGTATAGGAAATATCTGAGACAGTTAAACTTACAGAATCAGAGAGTAGAACAGTGGTTGCTAGGGGCTGGGGGAAATGAAGAGCTGTTATTCAATGGGTATAAAGTTTCAGTTATGCAAGAAAAATAAGTTCTAGAGATCTGCTCTACACATTGCACCTATAGTTCACAACACTGTATGATATACTTAAAACTTTGCTAGGAGGGTAGATCTTTTGGTCCATGTTCTTACTATGAAACACAAAAAGGATTCTCTACTCTTGATCTGCTCAGATGCCAGATACTTTGTATCCAACTCAACTCCTTCCTGGCTGAGGGGGGTTCCATCTCGCCTAGTCTTGGTCTTCACATCTGTCGAAAGGGAATGTGTTAGGCCGGCCCTTGATCTGCATGGACGTAATGGGAGGACTATGGGTTCAAGTTCAGGCTCTCTGAGCCTCAATTGCCCATCAGTAAAATGAGGATGATAATAACCACTTCACAGAGCAGTGGAAAGAATTCACTTTCACAATGCGTATGCCATTGTTTTATAAACCCTAACAGCGAACGCCAAAGTAAATTATTGCTTTTTATCATTATTATTATCTTCATCTATGCCAAGCTCGTAGAAATTATTAGATTAAAAGAGCCAATTATGATGGCCCACCCAGGATCTATGTAAAGACTGCCAGCTTTAAAGACAGTCAATGCATCCTTCTTTCCCAGAACACGAAAGAAATGTTGAATAGCTATTTATTGTCTCCCAGCCAAAATAGATTATGGGGTGAGAGCTGTTTTGTCGATCTTCCATCACAGCCGTTGAATAAAAGGTTAGTAAATAATAATGATAATTTAAAAAGACAACATATTCTCTCTTGAATGCCACACATGCAGACTCTCTTACTTATATCTCTTTGAAAATGGTTTTTATGAATATCAGTTTCTGGGGAAAAAAAATGTTTCTTTTGTTGCATCATCAATAGTAAAGAAAAAAGCCAATTAAAATGATTACCTTGGCTCCCCATCCTTGGGAGATGTGGGTAAGGGGATGAGAGGCATAGGGGTGGGAGAGAAAGGGAGAGGGAGAGAGAAAACCCAGGCCCGGAATTTCCAAGCCAGAGGGACATTTTTTTCTTTAAAATTAAAAACACAAATCAATTTCACTCAAACTCTAAAAGCAGAAAGGAATGGGGAATTTGACTGGTAATGTTTAAAAATAAACGATTTCTGGAAATTGACTGTGACTTAAAAATTGAGAGCTTCTGCTTTTTAAAAATAAAAAAGAAGAGCTACAGTTTCCACACGCACACAAACACTCTCCCTCCTCTGGCGCTCCCGCTCCCATCCCCTGGACACGGTCCTTGTTTTTCTCCCCCTTGGCTGTAGGGCAGCTTTTCTCCTGGACAGCAGCCTTCTTGATCTGGGCTGGTCTAGTCATCACTCCTCTCCTGCAGCACAGCCTCCCCCTCCCACCCCAAGAACACACACACACAGCAAGGATGCTTCCAGCATTCTTTCTTTCTCTTTTTTTGAGAGGACTGTAGATTCTGACCCTAATCCCTCTCTCCCTCCTACCAAGTTTCTATTTGAAAGTAACCGAAAAGAGGAAGAAAACTAATGGTTGAAAGTGAGAGAGAAAAAGAGGGAGGTGGCTATTAAGACAGAGAAAGAGTGAGACACACCTCAGTGAGAATGGGGGTGGGGGTGCAAATTAAGGAGTCAGAGAAAAACGGGAGTTAAAAAAATCTAATTTGAAACTCACTCTTTGCCAGAGACTCCCAATCCAATCATTTCCCTAACCCTAGGAATCTTCTGAGAATTCATTTACCCCCAGCTCTCTCTCACTGTCTCACTCTCTCTTATTCTCATCTCCTTTCTCTGTCCCTTACCCCACACAGCCAACAATGAACTTAGCTATGGCCCATGCGGGTACCACCACCTTTATGACTATCACCATCACCTCTGCTACACACCCACACACAACCACACACACAATCACACACACAATCTCATACATACAATCTCACACCATCACACACACACACAACCACACACACAATCGCACAATTTCTCATAAATTTCACACATGAGCAAAACTCTGAGGAAGTGGCCTGAGTAATGCGATCCCAGATGGACGGGTTTGGCGTTTGGTGCCCTGTGCCCACTGCATATTCTCTTAGGGGCCCCAGCAACACCAGTTTATTCCTTTTTCCACCATCACCTCTCATTTTCTTTACCCAAGGCGACAACAAGCCACTGCTCCTCAACCACCACAGACACAATCCCGAAAAGAAGAAAAATATTTGCAGAAACTGGGGGGTGGGGTATTATATTTTCATATTATTTCAAATGGGTATAAGTCAAAGGGGCTTCTTTTTTCACTGGGTGCCCCTCGGAAAACATCTAAATTATTTCTAGAGATTCCGAACAGACCAGAGATTTACAACGGCAGTACCTGCCTTCCAGCTTCGAAGGCCACTGTCCTCTCCCAGAAGGCCGCCCTAGCAGCTCCAGAGGGGGCCTCTGGTCTGGGGCACCCTTCTTTCCTGGCATTTTGTACAAACATACCCTTCAAATTACTCCGGGGGTTGCTTCATGCTTTTGTGGCCCTGTATTGCCATCGTGTGGCCAAAGTTAGAACTGCATGCACTTAAGCTGCAAAAAACTGGGTAAATAGGTCTGCGAAGTGGAGGAAGATCAGTGTTGACCTCCAACAGATCGTAAGTGGGGTATTTTTTTGTTCCTAGAAGACGTGCTGGTATATTTTGCAAAAGATGTTTGGATGCCTTTTATACAATTTTTCCATCGGTTAGTCCCTCTTTGCGAAATGCCTTTCCTCTAATCCGCTCTGAGTCCAGTAAAAAGCTTGCCCATAGATCCGAGCGCAATTAACCTCTCCAGCCTTCAAACATGTTTCATTTCATTCATTGTAATTGTAGCACTTACCAAAATTCTAAACTCTGTGGAAATTAGATGTGTGTATATCTCTCTCTCCCCTACCAGGAAGTGAACTGGCAGATGGCAGTGACCGTGTTTTTTCACACTTTCCAAATAGCAGGAAGTCTTTAAATGCATAATGAAGGAAGGAGAAAATACTGCACATAAATGACTCACTAATTCCTTGGCGACCCCGCATTTACTGACCTGCTGACCCCTCTTTACTCTTCCCAGCACAGCGCCGGCGTTATGGAGGACGCATCCAAGAAGATGCGGACTGGGAATCAGAACTGGATTTTGCCTATGTGAGCTATGTGTCCTTAGGCAGCCCACTGTCTCTCTCTCCGCCTTAGTTTTCCCAACTGGATAGGGAAAATTGAATCAAACTAATCACTAAGCCCTCGTTCAGACAGATGATGGCTAATTTTAAACAAACCTATGACATAAGTGGTGGAACTTTGAGTGTACAAAGAGAGACAAGATGCACCGTAGTTTTAATCCTTCCCCAACTGTCCAAAGGCACAGGGCTTGGTTACACAGATTAGGTATTCAATAAATACTTGCGAGGAAATACTAGATGGAAAGAAAACAAATTGCAAGTGAGAAAAGCGAAATGGCCACAGAATAGATGTGCACCGCCAACGTAACACAACTCTATGCAAAACTCACATTTAGACTCTCTATCTCCTGACACAAGCATGCTGCAGAAAAACATGTCAAGAGCTGGTGACACTAAATGTAGTCTCTAGCGGACTTTTCAGAGAAAGTTTCTTACAGGGCAAGTCACATTACCCGCCGAAGAATCTGGCTCGAGGTAAAAAGGGGAGGGTGGCATTTGAGATGCAGGGAAACGGAAAGCATTACGAGGCAGACATGAACAGGGAACAGCAAGTAGTGACAACATCAGCCATGGACTCTCAATCTGACTTCAGAAGCTTCTCTCAAGCTGTAATCCACATGGCTGTCACCTGAAAAATCACCCCACTCCTGCACCGGAAACTTGAGCGGTTTCTGTCGCTGGTCACGTTCTATTTCATAGATTGTTAGACAGAGTCCAGCCCAAGCTCTTATTTTGACAGATGCACAGAAAGCACGAAAGTGCATGTTGTGTTCAGGGACACCTCTTCCTATGTCTAGCAGTGGCTCTGGCACATGATATGTGCTTAATAAGTTGTTTAGTACAGTGGCCTAATGGCATTCTTCCTTACCCCAATATCATCAGACATTCTAGTATAAGCCAGAAGCGAGGTTAGACACACGTTTACTCCCAGTGCAACCACTTGAAGAATCATTATCCTGGAAGAGCAGAGCTGGGAGTTTGGACACTCATGGTCACAGTCACCATGAGGCCCTCGGAGTTAGTCAATGAAAAGCTGGAAGCCTTAATGCTAATCGTTGGCTTGTGCATCCCTTCTGCGTATGTTTTCCTGATGAATAGAGTTATGATTATTTAATTTGTAATGGAGCAGAAGGAACTGATTTTACCATGGCTGATGGCCAGGAACCGAGGATGCTGAGACCAAGAATTTATCAAAATGTATCTCAAAATAAAAGAGAGTAGCCAGGAGTTTTCCTTTCTTCTTGCCAATATTGTATGTTCTTCTTCTCTTATTGATATGGAATGAATTACCTCATTTCATTGCCCTGCTGTCTTTTGTGGTTAAGCTATAGCACAGAGATTGTGGTAGGAATCATAGCAGAATAGGGTTCACAGGGACCTTGGGGATGGACTGGTCTGGGGATGGCAAATATATGGCTCCCAGCTCCCACCCATGGCAGCCCTTGGTAATCC